TACCGGGAGCAAGGGGATCCCAATATGTTACTCGCAGGGTGGAATACCAGCCGTATCCCACCCTGCTTCGGTGGGATATGGCCAGTTTGTTGAAAGAAGTGTAGTACAATAGTAAGTGTTGTATTAGAATATATGACACATAATTTTTGAGGAGTTATTGAGGTGGTTCAGAAATACAGAGAGGTTGGAACAAAATAGAATGACTTCAAGAGTGTATAAATCTGTAGTGGAGGGAAGGCAGGGTAGGGGTTGGCCTAGAAAAGGCTGGAGGGAGGGGGTAAAGGAAGTTTTGTGTGAGAGGGGCTTTGACTTCCAGCAAGCATGCGTAAGTGTGTAAGATAGGAACAAATGGAGACAAATGGTTTTTAGGACTTGACGTGCTGTTGGAGTGTGAACAAGGTAACATTAATGAAGGGATTCAGGGAATCCAGCAGGCCAGACTTAAGTCCTGGAGATCAGAAGTACAATGTCTGCACTCTGAAAGAGGGGTGTTAATGCTGCAGTTTTATAACTGTAGTGTAAGTGTGCCTCTGGCAAAACAGTGATGAGTGAATGATGATGAAAGTTTTTCTTTTTTGGGCCATCCTGCCTTGGTAGGAGAAGGCCAATGTGTTAATAATAAAATAATAAAAAAAAATATTGGGGGGATCAACAACTAAAGTTCAGTACATTGTATTACTATAGAGTCATATATTGGAGTGCCACAGGGTAGCATCCTTGATTCACTACTCTTTCTCATTTACATCAATGGCCTCCCCAACACATCTCAACTCTTTAAATATGTTCTATTTGCAGATGACACTACTTATGTCTTTTCTCACTCAAACCCAGTTATGCTTAGACACTGTAAACGACAAGCTACTAAAAATATCTACGTGGATGATGACCAACAAACTCTCTCTCAATATAGACAAAACCTGCTTCATGCTGTTTGGAAACAGAACTTTAAATATCCAGCTTAACATATCAATTAATAGTTCCCCCATTACAAGACACACTGAAGGCAAATTTCTAGGTCTTCACCTTGACTGCAATCTTAAATTTCAGACCCACATCCAACATATATCCAAGAAAGCCTCCGTAACTTTAGGCATCCTTTCCAAGATATGGTACTATGTACCCCAAACGGCATTACTTACACCATACCACTCTCTAATCTACCTTACCTCATCTGTGGTATTTGTGCCTGGGGATCAACCATGGACTATCACCTTAAACTATTAATAACTCAACAAAAAGCTGCTGTGCGGATGATCACAACTCCTGTGCCAGACAACATACTCCTCTGCTCTTCAAGAACTTCAACTTATTTAATATACAAAATATACACATATTATTGTGCCTACTATATATACAGAACATTAAACTCCAATATAAACCCTCCTCTCAAGCTTCTCCTGGATAGCTACAACAGAACACACAGGCATAACACAAGGCACAAAATACTCTTTAACATCCCTCGTGTCTGTCTCACCCTATGCAAAAAATGCAATGCACATAAAGGGCCCTAAGATCTGGAATTCATTGCCTGAATCAGCAAAAGGTCTCCTGCCTGAAAATCAGTTTAGGGCTATACTTATAAATCATCTCATCTCCCAAAATTAACCATACCAACACTATCCTATAGCATTTCACCAGTTTGAAATGACTCAAGAAAAATCCAAAAAAATTTACAACTGCTTAAACAATTAAAACATTAATACATACTTAAAACTGTACTGTTGTATCATAGTAAATTGTACTAATTGTAATAGTTGTTATATGCTACATTACTATTATAAATCTTATAAAACTTTTTGGCTACCTCACTGTAGCAATAAGGTAAAATAATGAATAATTAAAATTTACTGCTCTTTAAGCTGTCTACTTTTAAGTAGTGTGTAAGTATTAGGATTAGTCTGCCCGAAATGCCCCAGTATGTTAGTGGCTTTCTTTGTAATTAACAATTTATAAAATGTAATCACGCATTGTAACCATTGCAAAGAAATAAAATTTGTTTGTTTGTTGGATTTAAGGATACTCACCAATTAGTTCACCTGGTCTTGCATAGAGCATTCAGATGACAGTGTCGTGAATATTGTAGAAGATGGCTGCGATTTTGGCAGGATCATATGCCTCTATATATGACAAAGGTATTGATGAAGGATCCATGGTGATCACAGCTGCTGGAGGAAGAGGAAGGACAGAGGTGATTTCAGATGAGTAACTTGTTGATGCTCTTGGAGTCATTTCAGTCTTGCTCTGATGAAACAGATATACAAGAAGCATTATAGAGTCAGACTTTCCCTTTTGGAAAGAATGATGTAATAATTGCTTGCAAATTTATTTATTATTTAACTTATATAGTTCATTGTAGCAAGAGAGAACTATTAGTAGCTTCAGTTTAAAAGACTTATTCTGTCAAGAAATCTACACACCTACCTCAAACATTTTGATACTCTCTAACAACTGTTGCAAAGTTAATCCAGGATATATATATAATCGTATGAACTGGGGACAACCTACCTAAACCGATTCAAGCAAAATGAAAAAAAAAAGGGGGATACAAATTAAAAGAATAACTATCATTAAAAATTTTGTTGTAAGACATTAAAGTCTTGTTTCATTGATACATGTAACACATTCAAATACTGTATAGTGTATTGTTGCATGAAACCTGTATGATGGACTTCCAAATATCAATAATGACTGATGGTGGATGAAGTTCACTGACCCAATGCTCCGACTACAAGACTTAGTTCAGTCTATTACGACGTCTGAACACACAACTTCTTGCCTCTTAGGACCACTTACTATACTCCTTCTACTTCTAGAAATCAGTTGGTATGACAGTTATCCACTTGGTCACTCAATGAAGTTCGTATACAGTGGACCCCTGGTTTACGATATTATTTCATTCCAGAAGTATGTTCAGGTGCCAGTACTGACCGAATTTGTTCCCATAAGGAATATTGTGAATTAGATTAGTCCATTTCAGACCCCCAAACATACACATACAAACGCACTTACATAAATACACCTACATAATTGGTCGCATTGGGAGCTGATCGTAAACGGGGGTTCACTGTATTCTTAAGTAGGGAAACTAATATTATGAGAAATATCACATACTTTAAAGGGATAGCCTAAGAAATTACCCAGTCAATACCTGGAGGGGGTTTCAGGGGTCAATGCCCCCACAGCCCAGTACATGACCAGGCCTCATGGTAGATCAGAGCCTGATCAACCAGGCTGCTGCTGCTGGCTGCATGTAAACTGACGTACGAGCCACAGCCTGGCCAGTCAGGTACTGACTTAAGGTGGCTGTTCAGCAACTTCTTGAGAACAACCAGGGGTCTATAGGTAATCCCCCTTATGTATGCTGGGAGGCAGATGAACAGTCTTGGGCCCTTTATACTTACTGTGTTATCTCTTAGCATACTCATGGTACCCATGCTTTTCAATGGAGGGATGTTGCATCTCCTGCCAAGTCTCTTGCTTTCGAAAAGAGTGGTTTTCATGTACAGATTTGGGACTAGTCCCTCTATGATTTTCCAAGTCTATATTATCATGTATCTTTCACACCTGCATTCCAGGGAGTACAAATCAAGGGACTTCAACTGCTGTTGTGACCTTTAAAAGTGAGATTCTCTGACATTATCACTCCCAGGTCCTTCACATTAGTTTTTCGCTCTGTGTGGTTGGAATATGTTTTATACTCCAATACAGTTTTAATTTCCTCGAGTTTTCCATACCGAAGTATGTAATTGAAATCTGTCTTCATTGAACTTCATTTTCTTTTCTGCAGCCCATTGAAAGATTTGGTTGACGTCTGCTTGGAGATTTGCAGTGTCTTTGATGGACGACACTGTCATGTAAATTCGTGTGTCATCCACAAAGGAGAACACAGTGCTGTTTCTTACATCTCTGTCTATGTCAGATATGAGGATGAGGAACAGGATGGGAGCAAGTACCGTGCCTTGTGGAATAGAGGTTATTCCTTTATCATGCATTTTGTGTGCTGTTACACCATGATCATACTTGATGAAGGCTTTAGCAGTCTGTGAATGCTACATCTGTATTTTGCTTGTCCTCCATAGCATCCAAGAACTTGTCATAGTGATCCAGTAGATGGGAGAGGCAGGAGTGGCCTGCTCTAAACCCATGCTGCCCTGGGTTTTGCAACTGATGGGTATCTAAGTGGGTGGCAATCTTGCTTCTTAGAATCCTTTCAAAGAATTTTATGATGTGGGACATTAGTGCTATTGGTCTGTAATTCTTTGCAATTGCTTTACTGCCAAAGTAATACTTTATGAGTAATGTTCTTTTCACAATAATGTTTGACAGCAGGGCAGAAATAATTTGTAAACCAGTCTTTACACAACTCTTTTGTTATCCAGCCAGTCTTATAAGAGTGCCATATTACTGACACCATCCCTTTTAATGCTTTCACTGTCCAAACCCCTAAAATTAATTACTCTCAGTGTCCACTTTTAAAAAAATTCTTCTGAAATGATAGAGAATCTTTATCTGAAGGTAATGACACCAAAAGTATGAAATTTTATGTTAAAAAACTTACAGAATTACAAAGGCACAAAGTTAGTAGTCTGGGCTCAATTTATGCATTGGCAATTTTGTCCACTTTAAAGTCCTAATTTAAGCCAATCCATTGCTACATTTGACCAAATTCAAAACTATATGACTAGTATGCCTTCCATTCTATCAACTGAGCACAAGAAATAGCCAATAAAATCATAAAAAAAATCTGAGAAAACATAGTCATTAATCTAAACCATACACATGGTCACAGTTTTGTTTTTCTCATCATGCACTGCATGGGGCAGGATTTTTTTTGGTACACACTCACTATACAGACCATTCTTTCATATCTAGGCCAAAAGTTGTCGTTCACAGCTCATCTGAGTGAGATGAGTTCATGACACAGAACTATGTGATGGACCCTAGCCAAAATGGCATAGTTCTACGTGATGGCCAGCAAAAGGGTTAAGAATTAAATGTACTTTTCATTTATCATTTAATCATACAAATATAACTATATCTTAAAACTTCCCCTAAATATTGTGCACCTGGGCCATGCAAAACTGATGACTGGACATTTTCTCAACTTCACACTCATAAACACACAGGTACGGTAGTTCGTAAATAATTTTTTTTGTAGGCTCTTACAAGCAAAACATCTTAAACAAAATCTACCCCTGACTTAGTGAATCATTTCTACACCATTACATCCTGTCATCTAATCAAGCACATAACCACCTTATCCTGGTAAATCATACACATACTGATGCACATAATTGTAAATAGACCAGTCCTTATAGTCAAAATAATATATCAATCAAATGTTACTTATTCCTAATTTTTCTGCTTGCTCCAGAGCACTTTTTAAATATTCATCAAAAAGTTCACATCTAATGGGCATTTCCAGTGAGTAGAAGGGGTTCTTGAGAGCATAATCAGAGTAGATTTCATAAACTCGATGAAGAAGACCGTCGATCCCTCCTTGTTTGGTATCAGATATCACCATGAACTTCACTCCTGAAAAATCACAAAAATTATATACATACATATAAATTAACACAAGGTATTTTTGCCAATAAACATTCAATTTTCTTCATTTTTTCCATTTCTGCATACGCTATCAAGTACAGTCATACCCTGCCCAACATCATTAATTGGTTCTGAGAGCCATAATGTAACCCCATTTTTAACGTAAACCAGTCATAATGCCTTAAAATGATGACAAACACTGTGAAACCACTGTCAATAACTGGTGAAAAAATATAACTACAGCCTCTCCTCACTTAACAATGAAGTTCTGTTCCTAAGACCATGTTGGTAAATTAATTCAATGCTAAGTGAGGAGCATACTATAATGGTAGTGGGTTTGTGCCAGCCATCTCTGATATTGTTTTAATGTCACCTTTGCACCATTCATAACATTTTTGGTATATTTTTAAATGTTTATACAGTAGTGTACTACATACTGAAATAAACAGAAAAGAGGAAATCAGCTCTAATATACATTATTTAGGTATAAATACTGGTCAGAGAGCCTGTCATAAGTCCGAGGCATCAGTAAACGAGTACGTCGCTAAGTGAGGAGAGGCTGTACTTACTACTACCTCTATATCCCATTTTATCTGACAGCCTCACTATGTAGAAAAACTTTCTAATATCCTTCTTGCACCACTTTTTACCCCATCTACAACTAAGGCCTCATGTTTTTTTACCTAATCTAATTCATTCTTTTACAACATATGATTATCATGCCTTCTTTCTTTACCATCTATCAGCTAATGAGGACATTCATGGTGTTTCCTGGATTTCTTTGAATCACATTTTTTTTTTTTTTTTTAGCTTCTAGGAGTGTCATATTACTGATGGTATACAACAGTGACAAGTTGATGAATAAGACATGTATGATGGTTTAGTATTTTTACTGCCAAAAGTCTTCAGTTGAATACAGGCAAATAATCCACTGAAGACAATAACAGTAGTAGTTTTGAGGTCATCAGTCCCTCAGCCTTGGTAGGTAGTGGTCAGTCTCTCAGACTTGAAGGAGTGATCACCTTCCACCTGTGAGTTACTAGCAGCAATAGCTCAGTTAATCAGGCAGTCAACAAGAAAGGAAGTCTAATCTTAGGCCAAACTGAGTGTAGCAGAATCCCCAAAACCTCTCATATGTACAGGTACCACAAGGCTTGTGGACAAACTAGAGTGAATAGTTACCCTTTAAAGGAAACCTAAAAGAGCAGTAAAGACTGCCATAATCCTGAAGAAAGTCTCAGGGCTCATGGGCCCCAGCAAAGGAAAGTACTAGCTGAGGAAGTACACATAGAGAGGTACATATTAGTATAATGTACAGAGTAAGGTTGGTCAATGAAGTCTTGAAGCACTGCAGGGGTCCCAGCTAACACTGGTCAAAATAAGTGAGCAGTAACAAAAGGGATCCAATGTGATGAATGGTTTGAAAAACCGACAAGTTGAAGATTGAGACACTTATGCAGCACATGGGAATCTTTATTCAGGAAACGTTTCGCCACACAGTGGCTTCATCAGTCCAATACAAAGAGGAAGCCTTCCTCTTTGTATTGGACTGATGAAGCCACTGTGTGGCGAAACGTTTCCTGAATAAAGATTCCCATGTGCTGCATAAGTGTCTCAATCTTCAAAAGGGATCCAATGTTGAACACAAAGACAATGATGGATCTTACTGAGGATGAGAGTGGTGACACTCCAGGACTATCACCACAGAAAAGCATATGATGAACACTTACCAATGAGATGATTTACAAGAAGCTTTAACAATGAAGAGAGAAAAAGTAGTAATGAAAGGATACTAAAAAGCTTTTACAAAGTGGCAGAATAATGAAATGGTACATAAGGATTAGATAACAAAAGCTACAATGACAGGAGCTTAAGAACAATTGTATGATAAATTTAACAATGAAAATCAGACATCATGAGTACAACTCTGCTTCTGTGGCTATTGATAGGTAATAACACTGGCTAAATCTTTCCCAAGACACCATGTGCATAATCACCAAACAATCAATAAAATCAACAAGGACAGCAACAGAAACTAAAATACAATTTAGTCCTGACACACTAGCAAAACATACAAAGTGTTGTGGCCAGGGCACCACCCTCCCAGGTAGCAAGGAAGCTTCTTGAGTGTTGAATCTCAGCACAGTTTTACAAGGAAGCATTCTTTCCTTACAAATTTACTAACCATTTTTTAACAAGGTACTTTAGGAAGTAGACAATGACAAGACATACTGTGCCTGTGTATATGGACTTCAGTATGGCATTTGATAAAGGTACACTGCTGATAATCACCTGCAAAACACATATGATCACTGGTACAGGACAGGACACCAAAAGGATGCCAGTCACAGCAAAGGCACTGGTCAGGCAAGATGAACAATAATTTTTCTTAGGATATAATCTTTGAACAAAACAACAGGATCTTTGATCTGGTGCATGTCATTGCCCTGCAGCAATACTCTATCTCATCTCTGAAGGTATTTTATTGCTCTATGAAGGGAAACTTGAGTTACTCACCCCAGTATGTTACCCGCCCCAAGTGTTACTACCATAAAAAGAACATCTGCATGGTTATTTACTCAAGCCATGTACAAACATAACTTACACAGCCTCACAAAAGTCCCCTAAAGAACAAAAAGGCACAATACGATGACTGGAACAAAGCACAAATAACCCACATTTAGGAGAGAGGGAAACTTATGATGATGTCTCAGTCCAACTTTTCCTCTTATCTTTTTCTATCTTCTACTAAAATTGTTATGTTGAGTTTGAAAATGTTTTTTGATTTGGAATGAGAATTCTTTTATTCAAATTCAAAATTCAAAAATTTATTTCTTTGCACAGTATACAATATAGTGGACTCTCAGTTTTCGTGTTTAATCCGTTCCAGAGCAATCGGCAAAAACGGAAATCATTTTCCCCATAAGAAATAATGTAAATTCAATTAATCTGTTCCAGACACCCAGAAGTATTAACAAAAAAAAATTTTTTACCTTAAAGATGGATTTACATGCACAAAAGAATGAACATTCAACATGACACTTACCTTTATTGAAGGCTGTTGTTGATGGATGGAAGACAGGGAGGAGGGGAGAGGGAAGAGAGGTTATTGTTTAGAAGGGAAATCCCCCTCCATAAGGACTCTAGGTACCAAGTCCTTATCAGGGGTCACTTCCCTAGCTTAAATATAGATTTACATGCAAAAAAAAGAATGACAAATAAATATAAAGCACTAATAAAATGTATAAATGAACATTGTTGGAGAATATGACACTAATATCAACTCTACGGCTTATTTATCACAATTCAACTAATATGACATAATAAACAATATTAATAACATAGAAATATGAATGAATAAAATAAGTCATTATGTATGTCACAAGAGGTGTTCTGTTGTTGTTGTTGGGTGTATAAGGGCCACAGAGCATAAGCCGTACATAGTGGTGGTGAAGGCAGCAGCAGAGGCAACAGAGGAGGCAGAGTTTTCAGTAGCCCTATATAACTCCAACAACATTGGAGGAGTTAGTAGAATCGCTGAATCATTGAAAAAGGCACCCTCTACCATCATCACAACCACTACCACCCTCTACTACCATCAGAACCACTACCACCCTCTACCACCATCACTACTATCCTCTACCACCATCACTACCAACCTCTACCACAATCATTACCACCCTCTACCACCACCACCACTTTCGTATTTTTCTACAAACTTTTTTTTGAATTCTATCGTGTTTCTTACATTCTTTACCAAAGGGCTGGCACTAGAAGCTTTCTGTGGGCCCATGGTGGCTTATTTAGCAGCCACACACAATAAACAAGTGCCAGAAACAATGGATTAATACGAAATGTTTTGGATGACCTGGCAAGATATGTTAACTTGCCGAAAAACAACGCAACACTGCCTGTGAATTCGTGTGGGTGGCGGCTTTGTCTGCACGCTGGGTATTGGACAGGTTCCATGTCAACAAAAACCGGGGAAATCAACGAAAACAGAACCAAAATACGTGTGTATTGACAAAAAAGTCGACAAAAACAAAAATCAGTGATAACAGAGATCGACGAAAAGGGAGGGTCCACTGTAAGTAGTTTACATGTAGTAAAATATTGTATATATTATATTCATATGTATTATATTCATATGTATTATATTCATAGGGAAATGTTAATAACTGTAAGGGTAATATAGAGCCCAGATAATGAGAAGTAATAGTTCAAAATAAAGAAAAAGAGGGTAGTTCCAATTCCCTGGATCAAGAGCCTTTCACTAGCATCAAGGCATCCCCTTCAAAGGGTTTTGTGTCTATGGAATACCAGGGTCAACAATCTTAACATCTGAAGCTCCACTTCATTAAACTTAATAAAACTTAAACTTTCATTGCATTTTGATAATTCCACTGAAAGAAAAAACAAATTTTATAGTGCATGCAAGAAAATTAGCAAATACTGTAGTGTCTGAATGAAAATTTTAGACAGAAAGCCAAAAGAAACATACCAGTAAGTGTCTGGAAACAGTTCATTCTGAAATTGTCAGCTTCCAAGATCTCAATACCTGAGCTTCGCTGTTCTGGACTCAGCTGACATGCCAGAGCATAGAGAGGATAAAACATTGAAGCCTGGAAAAACAGGAACAATCAACAGAGTAACCAGTCTTACAATGGTAATTCTTGGTGCTTAAAATCGTCATTTTAAAAGATACACAGTTATATTATTATACAGTATTTGAATGAACGATAAACAAATGTATAACAATTTATACTTAAAAAAAAAAAAGAATAAAGCAACTACGAGTCAGTCTAACAACCGGCTTCATTTATGGGAGAGTACCATCAATTATTATGTGTTTCATTTTTTTATTTTTTTTTAAAGAGTCCTGTTTTGAAGCCAGTTATCAGAGGTGTTTGTGTTTTTACCATGCTACTATTAGGACAGGGCACCCATTAGACTTTAATACAGCCTCTCCTCACTTATCGATGGAGTTCCGTTCCTAAGGCCACGTCAGTAAACAAATTCGTCGCTAAGCAAGGAACATACTATAATGGTAGTGGGTTTATGTCAGCCATCTTTGATATTGTTTTAATGTCACCTTAGTGCCATTTATAACATTTTTAGTAAATTTTTAAATGTTTATATAGTAGTGTACTGTATAATGTAATAAACAGAATAGAGGAAATCTAGTTAGGTATGCATCACTGTGAGGCAGTGATGGAGCAAGGCAGTGATGAAGGGAGGCAATGATGGAGTGAGGCAGTGATGGAGCAAGGCAGTGATGAGGCAAAGCAGTGATGAAGGGAGGCAGTTATGGAGTGAGGCAGTGATCGAGTGAGGCAGTGATCGAGTGAGGCAGTGATGAAGGGAGGCAGTGATGGAGTGAGGCAGTGATGGAGTGAGGCAGTGATGGAGTGAGGCAGTGATGGAGTGAGGCAGTGATAGAGCAAGACAGTGATGGGGTGAAGCAGTGATGAAGGGAGGCAGTGATGGAGTGAAGCAGTGATGGAGCAAGGCCGTGATGAAGGGTGGCAGTGGTCAGGGAACCTGTCGTAAGTCCGAGTTGTCGGTAAATGAGTTCGTCGCTAAGTGAGGAGAAGCTGTATTTAGTTTATCTTAGTTAAAAAGCAACCACATTATGCAAGAGTTACTGAGTATAATATAAACAAAACGAGGGTGTCTAGCTATCTTTTCCATGTGACCCCTTTGAATGATTATGACTCCATATTGTGCAATTTTCTTGCAACACTTTTCAAATAGCAACCAAAATAATTGGTATAATGTGGGAAAAATTGGACATCATGCAAGTGTTACATGCACCAGTTAAATCTTCTCTTTTCCTCCTAGGAAAGACAATATTTGTCTGGAGAATGTATTCATTTCCCTAAGGTACAGTTTTATTATTACCAGTTTCCGGGTGAGGTGGACCATCCTATCTAGAATGTAAGTCCTAGCCTAGCATTTATTGTTATGACGGCACTGCATCTTGGTTAATAATAATATATCTGGATATACAGAGAAACTACCAATATATCAAGGAGATATCAGGATATATATATGGAAACTGCCACTATACACAAGGTAATGCAAAAATTTGTCATAGCAACGATGTGCCAGAGTTCTGGCATAAATTTAGCATTGCAAATGCACTTACACACCTAATGCTGGCATAGGATGAAGTGCCTTTTGTGGGAAATAATGCCTCTAGTTTTTCCTTGGTAGCAAGTTAAGTTCAAGATACTGTGACTGTCATTAGGTAAAATGACACAAGTGCAACTAATGCAACATTTTATTGTGGCAACATTTCGCTCTCCTGGAGAGCAAAAACGTTGCCTGGAGAGCAAAACGTTGCCACAATAAAATGTCACATTAGTTGCACTTGTGTCCTTTTACCTAACATATTATTGGTAATTCTACCAAAATTATTACATTGTGACTCTGGCAAGGACTGTGAGAGACAAGGTCTTTGAAGATATGCATGACAATGACATAAATGAACTGTTAGAAGAGGATGACATAGAACTGGTGCAGAACAATTGCTGGAGCTCAATTTCCAGGGAAGAGAGAAAGGCAGATAAAAGAAGAGGATGAGAATAAACAGTTAACACTGCTGCAGTTACACGAGAAATTCCACGTTATTGGTGAAATTGTAGATTTTCTAATTGAAAATTATCCTGGTATATCTAGAATCATCATTCCGAATAAGAATCTGGGGCAAGCAATGATGCCTTACCATCAGATTGATAATGTACTGTAAGGTAAAGCAGACAGATGCATTACAGAATACTGGAACACTAATGCAAACATCAACCACTGACAACTCAAACCACATCAACATGAACCACAGCCCAGCCTTCTACTCAACCCAGACCATCTACACTAACAATCTTCACTCTTCAAACATAAAAAGTACCCAACACCAGAATATAATCCAAGTTGTCTTGTAGTAATTTTAATCTAGTAACATAGCAATAAATTTTGGAAGGGGAGGGATGTTAACTGGGGAGTTGTCTGGAAATTAACTAGAGTATAATGTGATTTTATATTACATGCTGATTCTCAGGAATATAACCCTTGCATTATCTGAACTGTACAATACTGAACTTCATATTTATAGCCATTGCACATTTTAACATCAATCACAAATAATACAACCCTCTTTCTAATATTTCTTCGGAAAGCTGTATTTACTATGTCAAGCAGAAGCCAGAAAAAATACTCTATATGTAGCTGAACACCATTAAGACAGTTCATTACTATGAACTGACAACCTTGGCAACTGGAAGACAAGCTATTGCTGGTAGATAAACTAAAAAAAAAAAAAAAAAAAAAAAAAAAAAAAAAAAAAAAAAAAAAAAAAAAAAAAAAAAAAAAAAAAATCCACAAAATGAACTTGAACTCTTTTAAAAATTGTGAGTGTAGTTATATGTAGCTTATTTAATACATGTTTATCTCAACAGAATTTGTTTTTTCAATGAACCGGCCATATCCCACCAAGGCAGGGTGACCTAATAAGAAAAAACGGAAATTTTTTGTTTTAAATTTAGTAATTTATACAGGAGAAGGGGTTACTAGCCCTTGCTCCCGGCATTTTAGTCGCCTCTTACAACATGCATGGCTTACAGAGGAAGAATTCTGTCCAATTCCCGGGAACACGGAAGTAAGAGGAAATAAAGAAGAGCAAGAACTATTGAAAATTGATTTCCTTGCAAAGCTTACAATGTGTGGTTTACGTATTATAAGATATTAATTACAAAGAAAGGCACTAGCATGTCTAGGCATTTCAGGCAGACTAATCCTAATTTTTACAGACTATTCTATACTGACAACTGGTTATGGAGCAGATGATTTTAATACGTGTTTATTATTGCATATTAGTATAAAAGTTAGGTAACTAAAAAGTTTAACATTAATAAGATTGATAACAGTGAGGTAGAACAAAACATATAACATTATTATAATTAATATAATTTAGTAATGGGAATGGTTTTATCTTGGCACGATACACTGTTTCTATAATCGACAGCTCCTATATTGTCAGAGTATTTCAGGCAAACTTAGGACTAACTTAAGATTAGGTATTTTATATTTACAGTCAATTGGGTGAAAGTATAAAATTGGGAGAATTACAGATAATGAGAGCAAGTTTATTTTGTTTTGGAGGTGTTCATGATACTGAGAATAGCATGTGTGGTTTTCACACAGTTAACTGATGATGGGGTGAGTTAGGGAGATAAGGTGTTTATTAATGGTAGTTTTGAATAGGCTGGTCGAGTCAGTGGTTCTGGAGAGTTTGGCCCTTTTATGAACACTGAATTTTTGAAAAAATTTAGCCAGACATGAGGAATATAAACCATACCCCCGGCCGGGATTGAACCCGCGGTCATAGAGTCTCAAAACTCCAGCCCGTCGCGTTAGCCACTAGACCAGCTAGCTAACGCGACGGGCTGGAGTTTTGAGACTCTATGACCGCGGGTTCAATCCCGGCCGGGGGTATGGTTTATTTGCAATCGTGTCATTACGATTTCTTGAGTCATGAGGAATATCATAGAGATTTTTGAATATTAAGAATATAGAAGAAAACCCAGATTAGTGTTTAAATATATATGCATGTACTTGCATGTATAGTGTCACCTAAGTGTTTACCTGGAGTTTACCTGGAGAGAGTTCCGGGGTTCAATGCCCCCACGGCCCGGTCTGTGACCAGGCCTCATGGTGGATCAGGGCCTGATCAACCAGGCAGTGCAAACAGAAGTAGCAAGAAATACCTGGTATCCCACATGTTCAAAAGAAATTCTTCTTTCAACAAACCGGCCATATCCCACCGAGGCAGGGTGAACTAAAAAGAAAAACGAAAGTTTTTCTTTTTAAATTTAGTAATGTATACAGGAGAGGGGGCCACTAGCCCCTCGCTACTGGCATGTTAGTCACCTCTTACGATACGCATGGCTTATGGAGGAAGAATTCTGTTTCACTTCCCCATGGATATAAGAGGAAATAAACAAGAACAAGAACTAGCAAGAAAAGCAAGAGGGATGTGTATACGTATACACCTACCATCCGACTTACAGCTGAGCTTGGTTCTGACCAACTGGTCGCAAGTCAAAATGGACGCAAGTTGAACCTTACTACTGAATATCAACATCACGTTTTTTAATGACTTTATTTTATTGTTTTATTCTGGTATTTCATTTTTTACATTACTTTTTATGCTGTTAGTACTGTGTTTTATACTGTAAGGTTTAGGATAAACACTGTGTACATCACAAACAGTTGCTTATTTCCCAGAAATTTGGCATACAAAACACGGTCATAAGTCGAGTGGTCGTATGTCGAGCAGGTCGTAAGTCTGATGGTAGGTGTATACGTATACTTGTACATGCATGTGTAGTGTGGCCTAAGTGTAAGTAAAAGTAGCAAGACGTACCTGAAACCTTGCATGTTTGTGAGATAGAAAAAAAGACACCAGCAATCCTACCATCATGTAAAACAAAAGAAATTATCACATTAAAAAAAAAAAGCCTTTTGAATTACTCATCAACAGTAATATGGATATGTTTAGCTGCAATCATTACACATAATCATCACTATCTCCACACTGCACTAAAGCAACTAGGCTGTGATCGATATGTGGTTCAGAAGGCCACCAATAGCAACAACCTTGTTGACCAAGCACTTAACAGGGAGGCTTGGTCCCTAGCCTGGCCAAGAAAATAGAACCATCAAAACAGGTCATAGGTAAATCACCAGGAAACTTCTACATATAATGTTGTGTAAGAACTACTGAGAAAGTAGTGATGAAATAACAATGGAAGACAGGGAACATTGTGCACATGCAAACTGCAATAACAACAGAAAATACTGCATTTAAAATTAAAAGATATTTTTAGAGAATAAATTGCAAATATAGAGCATTATTACCTGAAAGATTTTCTCATTAGTTGTGAGCTTGGGTCTTGCAAACTTAAGGTTAATGGGGTAATTAGTTTCATCAGCCAGAACTTCAAGAGCATCTCGGCCATCGTCAAGCTGCTGCCCAGTAACTTTGATCCCATTAACAGCCACAAGTGTATGACCCACTGAAACCAAAACATTCATAATACAGTATGCATATACTGTATTATAATTAGTGCTTGAAAAAATATTTACAAGTTCAGTAGCCATAAATAACACCTTGTTCAGCATCTTACCCATAAACTTTGGTGTCCCCAAGGTATCATTCTGGATCCTTTTCTTTTCTGATCTATATTAATGACCTACCTAATATTACCTAGCATCTGAAACACACATTCTTTGTTAATGGCACAACCTTTTTAGTATTAGGACCAGATCCTGTGTTAATACACACAAGAGGGAATAACGTACTTCAAAAATGTCCACACAAAGATGACTGACAACACACTCACCCTCATTGCTGAAAAAAAATTATATATCTCTTTTGGGAACAAACCATGTTCACAATTAGATAATAGAATCAATCGTACTCATATAGCACATGGGTTTGGATCACTGCAGCAAAGAGGCTAAAGGTAGTGGATGAATCATGTATGAAATCAATGTGTGGTGTGGATATAATGCAGGGTTTGGAAAGCAGATATTAAAAGGTGGTGTGGGGGATGCAGTTACCAAGGGTATAATCAAAGGGCTGAGCAGAGTTTGCTGAGGCAGTCTGAGCCTTTTTTTTTTTTTCTAAAAAACAAACTGGCCATATCCCACCAAACCAGGGAGACTCAAAAAGAAAAACAGAAACAACTGGAGGGAGGGGGTAAAGAAGGCTTAAAATTTCAGAGGTGTCAGCAGGCTTGTGTGAGTGTGTTAGTTTGGAGTGAAGACAAATGGTTTTTAATGGTGGTACTCTTGGAATGTGAGCAAGGTAACATTTTATGAAAGGATATAGGGAAACCAGTTAACAGAACTTAAAATCCTGGAGATTGGAAGGGTAATGCCCACACTCTATACCTTTGATAATATACCTTTGAAGAGTTCAAGAATCTTTCTACTCCCGGAGGCCAGGCTCATCTGCATTCAGAGGGTAATCCGAGCTGTGATGTGAGCACACTGCTGGCAAAAACAGTCGTCTTGCCTTGGCGATATACAGTAGGGTCCCGCTTATATGACAGGTTAGGTTCCAGGCTACTGCCAAAAAGCAGAATGCCATTTTTCCACTAATAAATGCATATAAATGCCAGACAACAAGTTTACACTAACTTATATTAAGCTAGTAATAGAACTAGGCATTAAAAAACACAATAAAAAGTAAAATATATACACAGTACATTCATTACTTACCTTAAAATATTTGTAGTCTTAATGTAGGGCTAGAGGTGCACCGGTAGTACAGTACTTATTTGTAGGAAGTCAGATGTAGGTAGCCCTGGCTTCCTATCCCAAACTTAATATACAATATTTAAAGCAGCCCAGAGAGATAAAATACACATACAGCACACTCATTATTTACCTTAAAATATGTGTAGTCTTAATGTAGAATGAGAAGTGAGTAGTATTTACAGCCTCTCCTCATTTAACGAGTTCCGTTCCTAAGACCATATCGTTAAACAAATTTGTCGCTAAGTGAAGAGCATACTATTATGGTAGAGAGTTTGTGCCAACCATCTTTGGTACTGTTTTAATGCCACCTTTGCACCATTTATATATAACATTTCTGGTATATTTTTAAATGTTTATATAGTAGTGTACTGTATAATGAAATAAACAGAATACAGTATGTAGAAAAAATCAGCTCTAATATACACTTAAATTTAGGTATGAATACCGGTCAGAAAGCCCGCCGTAAGTCCGAGGTGTTGGTAAACGAGTACATAGCTAAGTGAGGAGAGGCTGTATTTGTATAAAGTCAGGTGCAGGTAGCCGTAGATGTAGCCCGCCTGGGCTACACCTACCTACATAGCTATACAATATTTAATGCGGCCCAGAGCCATATTACAGTGGGCCCCTGGTATTCGATATTAATCCGTTCCTGAGAGCTCATCGAATACCGATAATATTGAAAACCGAATCAATTTTCCTCATAAGAAATAATGGAAATCAAATTAATCCGTGCAAGACACCCAAAAGTATGAAAAAAAAAAAATTTTACTACATGGAATATTAAGTTTAATGCAATAGAACAATAACAATAAAATAATTGACACTTACCTTTAATGAAGATCTAGTGATGATTGATGGGATGGGAGGAGGGGAGAGGTGTTATTGTTTAGAAGGGGAATCCCCTTCCATTAGGACTTGAGGTAGCAAGTCCTTTTCCGGGGTTACTTCCCTTCTTCTTTTAATGCCACTAGGACCAGCTTCAGAGTCACTGGATTTCTGTCGCACAACATATCTGTCCATAGTGGCCTGTACCTCCCGTTCCTTTATGACATCCCTAAAGTGTTTCACAACAGTGTTAGTGTAATAGTCACCAGCACGGCTTGCAATAGCTGTGTTAGGGTGATTGTCATCAAAAAAGGTTTGCACTTTAAGCCACATTGCACACATTTCCTTAATCTTTGAAGTAGGCAACTTCTTCAATTTCTCCATCCCCTCCTCCGAAGCAGTTTCCTCAGATCTGGCCTCTTGCTGTTCAAGATGATCTAGCAGCTCATCAGTGGTTAGTTCTTCACTGTCCTCCTCCACCAACTCTTCCACATCCTCCCCACTAACCTCCAACCCCAAGGACTTCCCCAATGTCACAATGGATTCCTCAACTGGCATAGGATTCTCAGGGTTAGCCTCAAGTCCTTCAAAATCCCTTTTGTCTACACATTCTGGCCACAGTTTTTTCCAAGCAGAGTTCAAGGTCCTCTTAGTCACTCCCTCCCAAGCCGTACCTATCAGGTTTATACAATTGAGGATATTAAAGTGATCCTTCCAAAACTCTTTTAAGAGTCAGTTGAGTTTCTGTGGTCACTATAAAGCACTTTTGAAACATAGCTTTTGTGTACAGTTTCTTGAAGTTGGAAATGACCTGCTGGTCCATGGGCTGCAGGAGAGGAGTGGTATTAGGAGGCAAAAACTTCACCTTAATGAAGCTCATGTCCCCAGAAAGTCGCTCTGACAAGTCTGTAGGATGACCAGGGGCATTGTCTAATACCAGGAGGCACGTAAGGTCTAATTTCTTTTCAGTTAGGTAATTTTTCACAGTGGGGGCAAATGCTTGGTGTAACCAGTCATAGAAAAAGTCCCTAGTGACCCATGCCTTACTGTTTGCCCTCCACAGCACACACAAATTAGCCTTGAGGGCATTGTTTTTCCTGAACACTCTGGGAGTTTCAGTGATACACCAATAAAGGCTTCACTTTGCAATCACCACTAGCATTGGCACACACCAACAGAGTAAGCCTGTCTTTCATAAGCTTATGTCCTGGGAGTGCCTTTTCCTCCTCAGTAATGTAGGTCCTGCTTGGCATTTTCTTCCAAAACAGGCCTGTTTCGTCGCAATTGAGCACTTGTTCAGGTTTCAGTCCTTCACTGTCTATGTAATCCTTGAATTCCTTCACATATTTTTCAGCTGCGTTTTGGTCCGAACTGGCAGCCTCACCATGCCTAATCACACTATGTATGCCACTACGATTCTTAAATCTTTCAAATCAACCTTTGCTGGCCTTAAATTCGCTCACATCACCACTATTTGCAGGCAATTTCTTTACCAAATCGTCATGCAACTGCCTAGCCTTTTCACAAATGATTGCTTGAGAGATGCTATCTCCTGCTATCTGTTTTTCATTTATCCACAACAATAACAATCTCTCAGCATTTTCTAACACTTGCGGTCGCTGTTTTGTAATCACAGTTGCACCTTTTGCAAGAACAGCTTCCTTGATTGCCGTTTTCCTGGTCACTATAGTAGAGATGGTTGATTGGGGTTTATTATACAACCTAACCACCTCCGACACACGCACTCCACTTTCATACTTTGCAATTATCTCTTTCTTCATTTCATAAGTCATTAGCGACTTTTTTCTTGAAGGGTTGGCACTAGAAGCTTTCTTGGGGCCCATGGTGACTTATTTTGCAGAAACAAGCACCAAACACAGTGATAATATGGATAATATGGAATGTACCAAATGTATCCTTAGATGCGCGCACACTGGCTGGCTTGTAAACACTGGCACACATGGGGCAGTTCAGGCCACACGTGGACACGTCTCGTACGAATCGTATCGAATACCGGGTTTTCAATTGAATACCGAGGAAATTTTTTTGCGATATAATGCATCGAATACCGGATTTATTGAATACTGATGCCATCGAATACCGGGAGTCCACTGTATTACCATCACATATCTTGTTCACTGAGTTTAATCCTTAGATGCCATCATAAATGAAGCAGAGTGTTCAAGGGAGTGACTGGGCCAAACACAGATTCATACACATTTTCTCTGGTGCTGGACCAAAGAAAACGTAATGTTTTCCCTTCGCCCAGCTACCACACCTCCATAGCATACAAACATAGCATGTTAATATGCTATGTAACATGTTTCTTATATAATTCTGAAGAAAATATCATAAATGGATTAACAAAAATTCTACATTAATGTAAAATAAGACATTTAATGTGCCCAAAAGTGATTATTATTACATACTATTAGTATTACTATGGCACTCAGACAAGAGGGACACTCTTAATGATTTAATGTGTACCTGCACGCCAGCACTGTGTGTAAGTATATTTAGGTACAGGTACACACAAGTACAGTAGACCGTTACATTACATGGTTTTATTTGGCACATTTTGGTTATTTAACTATTGAAAAACTGCAGCACAATTTTATACAACACTTCATAAAATTAACTTAACATGGTTCGGTTTGCGGGACGGGAAAATACTTGGAGTCGCTCAAGGGATACTTCCTCAACACAACTTGGAGCAAGCTGTGTTTATTATTATGTTTGTGGATTGAGTTTAGATCTCTTAATTGCCATATCTTGTATCTGCCAAGCAATCATGGCACCCAGTAGGCATACAAGTGTTGCTGAAAGTGGCAAGAAAAGGTTTATGCATTTAAGTCTAGGAGTTACGAAGAAAATCAAGATATTAGATGAGCTTAAGAGTGGCTCACATGTGGTGGGTATAGTGAGGGCCTATGGCTTCAATGAAGCATCAGTTTGAACAATTAAAAAGAATGAGGTGAATATATGAGTTTGTGTAATGAATAACCCAGGATGTCATCTCATGAAAAGAATGACATATAGATCACAACAAGTAAATAAAACTGAAAAGTTGTTGCTTAAGTGGATCGAACAAAAAACAGAGAAAGGCGCACCACTTAATTTCAGCGTCAAGGAACCTTGACGCTGGTGAGGGGCTCTTGATCTAGGGAATTGAATCTGTACTCCAGTTCCCTAAATTACTAGTACATAGTAATAATGATAATAACAATAATAATAATATTAACGAAAAGCTTCAGAATGCCACCACTAGATGCCGCAGTGCACTGTTTACCTCGCCGTGGAACCATTTCTCTTGTGTTGTGCTTACGTTTTGCACAATTATTTTGCCAAATTTCTCTTATCTAACCATGGATCCTAAGAAAGTAAGTGCACAGGACAGTGCTGAGAAGAAAAAGAGGATGACGTCCATGGAATTAAAGCATGAAATCATAGATAAACACAAACGAGGTAAGGTGTGCAGGTTGTGTGTTGAGGGGGAAGCTGGCTCGTAACTCGGATTTAGGATCATAACTCAGAGCAAAAAATCGACTGAGCGACGGCCCATATCTCGAAAAACTCGTATGTTGGGGCACTCATAAGTCAAAGTTCCACTATACCTGGGTGTTAGTCGACTGGTGTGGGTTGCATCCTGAGGACAAAACTGACCTAATATACCCAAAATGCTGTGCATAACAAGAGACTTTCTATACAGCAATATGTCACTGATGTCAGCTATGGTCTGTATACCTTGTACATATACTTGTAAAAATAAAGATTATTATTATTTTTTTATTATTATTACTACTACTACTATTAAATAAAGATGCTGCCTAAATCAATGGCCTCACCCACTGGCATCAATGACCATTACAAAACAGAGCCATATAAAAAGCCTATGTTTTATATCTGTGTTCAATGGATCTGCCCAAATCTGTTTTCTTTCCAATGTATGTTAATATAAACCACTTTAGAATATGATATTTAACCAGTAAACAGTCCAAACGTATATATACGTTTTTTTAACATTTGAGAGTATGTAAAAAAAGGAGATCTTTTTGTTTTTCTACATTTGAAAATGTGTAAAAAAAACTTTGATCTACTTTTTTTTTGTTATATTTTTTTGTTATATTTAGCCTGGTGGCTAAAGCTCCCGCTTCACACACGGAGGGCCCAGGTTCGATTCCCGGCGGGTGGAAATATTTCGACATGTTTCCTTACACCTGTTGTCCTGTTCACCTAGCAGCAAATAGGTACCTGGGTGTTAGTCGACTGGTGTGGGTCGCATCCTGGGGGACAAGATTAAGGACCCCAATGGAAATAAGTTAGACAGTCCTCGATGACGCACTGACTTTCTTGGGTTATCCTGGGTGGCTAACCCTCCGAGGTTAAAAATCCGAACGAAATCTTATCTTATCTTATCTTATCTACTTTTGTAGCACTACACATGTGAACGTAGATCTGCTTGGACCGTTTACGGGTTAATTATCAAAATCTGCTGAGGAACAATGATCTATTTGAAAAACCTATTTCTGAGCTAAAACTAGTAAATAGTGTTCAAAAAAAATAATGCACCTAAGAAACCAAAAATGGCATTTTGGTTTGTGAACCCAAATCACACTTGAGGAAAAAAAAAAAAGGTAGAAAATGTCAGTCTTCTGACCTATTCTCCATTTTTCAACCTCATTCAATTGTGACTTGACAATAGTCAAAGACAGACAGAAATATAATCAATACTTTCTCCCCTAATAGTGCAAATTATTTGTGAATTGCTCCAGATGTGTTATAGTGAATTTTTATTCTTAATAACGAAGTGTATTACAGTACCTTTAATACCGTCTCGCTGACCATACGAGACGATTATGCTCCTGTTCTGAACCTCCAGTTTAACCTCCAGAGGATAGCTGAAAGTCTTCTCGTTCTCCACGGTGGGTATATTGTGATCGTGCTGGTATATAAGTCCACCGGACTTGCTCAGGATATATAAACTAAAGATGGTCATATTACCTGTATAAAGAACATTATATTTGCACTTTTACACTAATATATATTTTATTGTAAACAGTTTCATACATTATTCTTTTGTGGATTATCACTTTCTCTTTGTCAACTAGATCTCAAAATTTAAAAAAAAAAAAAATATATGCAAATATATTTGAAATTTGCCTTCATGAGGAGCACTAAACACGTAGGTGTAACTCTCGTTCAGGATTAACATATGTTTAAGTTTTTGCAAATGTTTTGTATTAAATTATATTAATGGATGAAGCACTAAACCCATTGGGGTTTACTGCTTCATCCATTAACATAATTTAATACAAGACATTTAAGTATAATTAAGTATAATTGGTTAAGTATATTTGCACTAAACCCATTGGGGTTTAGTGCAAATATACTAACAATTTACCTTCATAAGGGAGCACTAAACCCGTAAGTGTAAATTTTTCAGGTTCAATACACAGGTTTAAATTTTTTCAATTGTCTCGTAATAAATTAACAGCAGAAGCACTAAAGCACTAAACTCATAGGGGCTATATGGTGTCTGAGAGGAATGGAAGGAAATTAGGAATGATCCAATTCCTAGAATCAAAAGCACCTCAACATGATCACGAAACCTCCCTAAACGAAGTTGTACAGCAACTGTGGAAACACAAGACAATTAGTAATGATCCAAGTTAAAGGACGTCAGGTCCAGTTCCTTGGATCAAAAGCCCTTGATTGTGGTCATGAAAATCCCCCCTGAGCCTTAATTAAGGTATGGATACTTAGTGCGAGTGAAGGAGGAACCTGGTGACTGTGTTGTGTATAAGGGCTGTTACTACTCTACTTGTGCTGGGTTGAAGGACCGTCACACGGACCCAGGACCGTCACACGGACCCACGACCGTCACACGGACCCAGGACCGTCACACGGACCCACGACCGTCACACGGACCCAGGGCCATCACATAAGATAAGATAAGATTTCGTTCGGATTTTTAACCCCGGAGGGTTAGCCACCCAGGATAACCCAAGAAAGTCAGTGCGTCATCGAGGACTGTCTAACTTATTTCCATTGGGGTCCTTAATCTTGTCCCCCAGGATGCGACCCACACCAGTCGACTAACACCCAGGTACCTATTTGCTGCTAGGTGAACAGGACAACAGGTGTAAGGAAACGTGTCGAAATGTTTCCACCCGCCGGGAATCGAACCCGGGCCCTCCGTGTGTGAAGCGGGAGCTTTAGCCACCAGGCCACCGGGCCACCCACATGGACCCAGGATCGTCACACGGACCCACGACCGTCACGGACCCAGGACCGTCATACGGGCCCAGGGCCGTCACACGGACCCACGACCGTCACATGGACCCAGGGCCATCACACGGACTCAGTACCGTCACGCGGACCCACGACCGTCACGGACCCAGGACCGTCATACGGGCCCAGGGCCGTCACATGGGCCCAGGGCCATCACATGAACCCAGGACCATCACATGGACCCAGGGCCGTCACACGGACCCACGGCCATCACACGGACCCAGGGCCGTCACACGGAACCAGGACCATCATACGGGCCCAGGGCCGTCACATGGACCCAGGACCGTCATACGGGCCCAGGGCCATCACATGGACCCAGGACCGTCACATGGACCCAGGGCCGTCACACGGAACCAGGACCATCATACGGGCCCAGGGCCGTCACATGGACCCAGGACCGTCATACGGGCCCAGGGCCATCACATGGACCCAGGACCGTCACACGGACCCAGGACCGTCACATGGACCCAGGACTGTCAAATGGACCCATGACCATCACAACTTATGAGCAATATTTTGGGGCCCCACCTCCGAGGCCTCCTAAATTAATAAATATATTTATACTAGTACATGTACAAAGTATACAGGCCTCGCTGACATCAGTTACATATTATAGAGAGCCCCTTGTTATGTTGAGCATTACGGGCAAATTAGGTCAATTTTGTCCCAGGATGCAACCCACGCCAGTCTACTACACCCAGGTACCTACTTACTGCTAGGTGAACAGGGACAACAGGTGTCTTAAGAAAGAGCTTGTCAATTTCCCTGCCGAATATGGTAAGGGGAGGAACTATTGGTAATCCCCCGCTTATGTATAGTGGGAAGCTGTTTAATAGTCTTGGGCCCCTTGTGTTGTCTCTCAGTGTACTTATGGGACCCCTCTGCTTTTTATTTGGGTATTTTGCACATTTTGCCAAGCACCTTGCTTTATTAAGGGGTAGTTTCTGTGTGCAGATATTGGACAAATTCCTCTAGAATATTCCAGTTGTAAATTATGATGCATCTTTCTTTCCTGCTTTTCACGGTGCCCCGTGGCCTGGTGGGTAAAGCTCTCGCTTCACATGGCGAGGGTCTGGGTTCGATTCTCATCGTGGGTAGAAACATTGGGCATGTTTCTTTACACCGGTTGTCTATGGTTACTCATCAGTGATAATGGATACCTGGATGTTAGTGGACTGGTGTGGGTCGCATCCTGGGACAAAACTGACTGAATTTGCTCAAAATGCTCTGCATAACAAGGGCTTTCTATATAGTAGTATGTCATTGATGTCAGCTATGGTCTGTATACTCAGGGCCGGATTAAGACCCTGAGAGGCCCTAAGCACTTAAAAGATTTTGGTGCCCCCATATACTCTATGTAATTCAAAATATAAATGATAATAAACCATAAAATAAAATGTTATTTTTCGAAATTAAACAAAATTTACAGTAAGATGAAAAATAATATTTATTTTTTATATGTCCACTTTATTTATAGTTGAAAAGTTTTCCCCTACTTTTTTTAATTGCAAAATCTTTGATCAGATCCTCAAAATTAGTCTTATGTAACACATCTGCTTCTACACATGTACTTAGTTGAGATAAGGCATCCAGCTGCCTTGTTGCATAGTTCTTCTGATGGGATTTTTAAAATACTTCAGCTTAGAAAATGAACACTCAACTGAGCAATTTGTGACCATTAATATTAAAAATATATGAATGCCAATATTTACATTTGGAAAGGCACACTCAATATTATCTTCTTCAATCATTTTACAAAGTTCAGCATGACTTAACCTTGTTTCTACATTTTTTGTTGCACTGAACTTATGGTGCACATATAAGTGAAATTGTTGAGGTTCAGCTAGGAAATTAGTGTTAAAATACTCTGGGTAAGCATCAATCAGCTTTTGACAGCAATAAGAATACTATACCTTTCAATTTCAGTAGATGATGAAGTGGCATTATGTGGCACAGCACTGAGAAAAGAAAACCTCTCTGCTATTTCTTTGTATATCTCTCTTCTTGTCTCAGTTTCAACTTTGTCAATAATTGTGTAAAAGGTGGTGATACGAAATTTATGTCTGGCATTCAGACATACTTCTGGTGCATCACTGTTATTGGGTACCTTCTTTCTGATTTGCTTCTCTTCTGTGTCTCTCTTTTGTGACTAGTCTTTGGCTATACATTCTAATGCTTCTAAAATTTTAAGGAAAGATTTCAAAGTTGCTGCTGTTGCATAGCATGTTTCTCCCATCTGGTACCAGAGAGGGATTTTAAGATACTTTCATTTCCAATACAACCTTCAAGAATTTTCCACCGGCTGGTCAAGGCTGAAAAAAAGTACGTATAGAGCAACTGCACTGTAGAGAAGAAATTAACAGCCTCATGATAGCAGTCAACAGTACTTCGGTCTACCAGATTTAGTGAATGAACTGCACAGGGCATGTATATAGCAAACTTGTTTGTTTCTAGAATTTTTCGCTGCATCCCTTTATAACGCCCAGACATGCTTGCAGCGTTGTCGTAAGATTGACCCCTACATTTTGAAAAGTTTAGCTTACAAACTTCATGTAAGTACTGCAACACCTGATTTGCCATTTCCTCACCTGTACGGCTTTTCATTTCCAGTGTTCAATAGGCTGTCCATCTTTTAAGTACCTAATTCGATATGTGATCGATGTCAGTAGGCATCTTCTCTAAGATATGGTACTATGTACCCCAAATGGCACTTCTTGCTTTTTATCACTCTCTCATCTACCCTTACTTCACCTATGGTATTTGTGCATGGGTTCAACCACAGCAAATCACCTTAAACCTTTGATTATACAACAGAAAGCTGCTATGAGAATGATTACAAACTCCTGCACCAGGCAATACACCCCACCACTATTTAAGAGTTTGAACCTGCTTAACGTACAAAATATCCACTTATGTTATTGCGCCTACTACATACACAGAACATCATTCTCCAATATAAACCCTCCTCTCAAACTCCTTCTCGAGAACTACAACAGAACACACTTGCATAACACAAGACACAAAACACTATTTGATATCCCTCGTGTCCATCTCTCCCTAAGCAAAAATGCAATGCATATAAAGAGCCCTAAGATCTGGAATTCATTGCCTGAAAATACAAAAGGGCCCTTGCCTGCACACCAATTCAAGTCACTACTTAGAAACCACCTCATCTCCCAAAACTAATAACACAAACACTATATACTATCACCACCATCAACTCAAAAATTGCCAAATTTTATAAGATTATTTCAAAACTAAAATTGTCTCAATCTCATTATGTATAATATGCTAAAATATAATTCTGTAACTTGTTATTCAGCTACTGTACTTGTTAATTTAATTGCTATGAAACCGCTACTACCTCTGTTGATACATGGAAAACAATGTTCAATTCAAATCAACTATGATATATGTATATGTCTAGTATTAAATAGGCTTTTTTTGCACTTAGCAAATCATTATTGTAATTACACATTGTAAACTATGTATGGATGTAGACTCCTTATAATATGTCAGTCACACATTGTAAACTGTGCAAAGAAATAAATATATTTGAATTTGAATTTGAATAAATCTGGTGTTGAATCAACTGACAAACTAAAATAACCAGAAGATTTTCCTTCATCAACATTGAGCATGTGGACCTTTTGAACGAGTTCCTCACAGGTGGTTTTGGACAGGTAAAAAGGATTTCCTCTGCCAGAATTTCCATACATTTCGAAATATGACCTGCTAAAAATGGATCAAAATGGCTTATGAGCTCAAGGAGCCCTAAAATATTCCCATTTTGCAATGATTCAAACCTTTCTTCTGTTCCTTGAAAAGCCAAGCCACATTTAGCTAACATACGAATAACAGTTATGACATGCCTCAAAACATGCTCCTAGTAATCACACTCTTCCTGAATTTGTTTTTCCAACTGTTGCCCCAACCCTGCACCCTGTCTGCGAATTAAGTATGTTAGCATAGTCTCTCGGCGAGTAGTGCTTTTTTCATGATGGTCAATTACAATAGCATTTTGCCAGTCACTGAACCCTTCTCTTATAACAAAATGTGAGAAACTTTTAGGAGCAAACAGTTTACAAACACAACAATAAATGATCCTGTCACCATATCACGGGCGGGGTTAGAACCCCCAATCAGAGAGTCTCAAAACTCCAGACCATTGCATTAGCCACTGGGCCAGCTAGCCACAATAAGATTCATCCAACTAGGTATATTTATACACCATAGGAAGGTTAGCATAGGCTCCACTGTGACCACAAATACAAGTTTTTACAGATGAATCTCCAGCTGATCCTGTTGATGGTGAATACAATAACCACTCTCTCTTGTATTTCTCACCATTGGCTTTTGTCCCAACAAAAAGTTTCTGCGAACAGTATCTTACTGGTTTGCCACTACTGAAATGTTGGTAAGACTTGTCAAATGGTCCATTGTGGTGTTGACAGTCACTGG